ACAATCAGGTCATTTTGTTATCCTCAAGCAGCAATAAAACCACTTGCACTTGAATGAGAAGTGTTGGTGATTCTTTCTAGCTAAACCTTCTTTTTTTTTTTTTTTTTTAATTCTTTTAACCTGTTAGTAGACATTCAAATCAACACAACCTGACCCACCACCACCACCACCAAAAAAAAAAAAAAAAATCAACAATCAAGCAACATGCAATATTTTCTAAAGCAGCAAAATCCAAATGCAAGAAAGTTACAGTCTTCAGAATATTGTACTGTAGTGATGGATTCCATATATGGCAAGGCCAACGAGTTTTACTAATACCACACTCAATGAGTAAAATTTAAGCAGATAAAAATTCACAAGAAAAGATGGAAAATAGAGTGTAAAATATACAGAATTTCTATTTTTATTTGATCAAATAATATCTTCTAAAATTTCAATCATACTTTGAGCCAGTATTCACCTACTCAATTCAACTCCCTAATTTCTCAAATACAATTACTTCAATTCTGATGTGTGATTTTTTTTTAATATCTAAGCATCATAACTTTATTTACACTGTTTACATTTGGCCTATTGTCCTCACCGTTTTTGTTGTCATGTTTTGGATGTTGTGCCCTCTAGCTTTCATCAAGTGTATATCAGGGTAACCTACAGGGAATTATGAACGGAAACTGTTATTTAATCTAGAGATAGACTGTTCTCGTTCCACTTGGATATCACATCTAGTTTTTGTTTTTAGTACTGCTCAGTAATTACTTGCCCACTTTCCACTCTGTCCAAGTACACACTGCCTAGCCCAGAGATTTAACTCACAATTACTATGTCACCAAATTCAGAAACCAACACTTTAATCAAATAGATTATTGTTAGAACAATAGTCCAAACAGCACAGCCTAAACCATATTAAACCATAGTATACCATTAAAAAGTATTATTGTTGTTGTTGTTGTTAATAATGATAATAATAATAATCATCTATTTGAATTCATAAATCAAAAACAAGTTTTGATTTATTTAGAAAGGATATTACCTTTACCCAAAACTTATACTGGGAGCAAACTATCAGCATATGGACAGAAAAGAATTCATTAAATACATAAAAATACAAAGGGACATAAAACAAGGATGTGTCTTCTCACCGGACCTATTCAACTTTTACAATGAAGCAATCATGAGAGAATTAGATGTCCTACCAGGATTCATTATTGTCAGCCACAATCTTAAGATTAGATATGCAGATGACACAGTGGTGATAGCAGACACAGAAAAGAAACTACAGGAACTCCTGCAGAAGGAAATTAAAGAAAATGAGAAGAAAGGACTAAACATCAAAAGGTATAATATATGGTTGTTAGCAAAAGAAAGAGCTCAACATGTAAATTACAAATTGAAGATACCAAAATCCAGCAAGTACAAAAATTTAAATATCTAAGAAGTGTTTTAACAGAGGACAGATAATGTGACACCGAAATCTGAAGGCACATTGGGATGGCAAAAGATGTCTTCCAAAAGCTAGGCAAAGTATTAAGAAATGGGAACATTTTGTTAGAAACAAAGAAAAGAATACTAGACTATTATGTAATATTAGTCCTCTTATATGGTAAGTGAATTCTGGACAATCTCCTCTTAAATGAAGTAAAGACTTTATATAACAGAAATGTTGTTTTACAGAAGTGTGTTGAGAATACCAGACTGAACATGTGAGCAATGACAAAGTTTCAGGGAAAATGGAAACAAAAAGAGACATACTTAGAATTAGAAGCAAATGAATTTTCTAGGGCACATAATGAGGAAGGAGAACTTGAAGAATTTGACACTCACAGGACATATTGAAGGCAAAAGGGACAGAGGAAAACAGCACATAACCCCTGCCTAATGGCTGGTGGAACAGTGAAAGACAAACTTTATTAAGAGCTACAAAGGACAGAAAATTGTTGAGAGCCAAGATTGCCAATGTCCTGAAGGGGCATGTCACATAGAAGAAACCCCTTTTGTCAGATAAAATTTGTTATTTCTTTAGAAAAATAAACATACTTTCTTTTTATGATAGCTACAACTTTTATGTATTTTTTCCAGCTGGTTGGAGGATTTACCTCTTAAAGTGGAAAATATATAATAGTCAATTTATTTTTTTTTTCAATCAGGGTACATAGATTTATAATACATTAAATAGCTATAGTCTGCTTGCAAGATTCCTCACTTTTTTTGCAACTGACATCAACATAGAATAAAAATGGAGGAATTTAAAATCATTAACCAGCAAGCATAATTGATAATGATAATGGCTAAAAACATTGCTGCATCATAAGGGCTTTTGATAGCAGCCATAGTCCCCAGGATTGGGTCTACCTTGGACCTCCAGAAGGATCCATGGTTTTTTGTTGTTGTTTTTTTTGTTTTTTTTAAAACAAAGTTATGAAATTTCTTTAAATGGCAGAGATCAAGTCTAATGTCATATATAAATTTTATATTTTTCATGCACTCTTAGGTGTTTACTTGCTCCTGATATTACTTTTTTTTTTTTTCAGTGGGGCTTGTCATGTGTTCCTGCCAACTACTCAAAAATCTTGTTTCACTATGTGCCATATCTCATGCTAGACAAACTCAGCAATACATTTCTTTATTTATATTTTCAAAGAAAAACCCTGTAATCATTAATCAAATCAATTATTAATTTTGTTTTTTTTTCCCCAAATAATTTATACCTGTAGTGAACATGTGAATTTTGATTAAGAGATATACCTCAAAAGAAAATCCAAAAACATCTATTTTTCAAGTATTTTAAATATTGTCATTGTCAGCCACGTCCCAAGAACAAGAAATCCTAGAAGATTCAAGGACATTTCTTACAGTTAACTTTAGGTATGTTAAAAAAATCTTTAGTCAACATTATAATTGCATTATCAGGACATACTGTAACTTTGTCGAATATTTCGAAATAGACTCTGGAGAAATGACACTAAATCTAATGATTAACATCTGCCAGATATCTTCTTCAGGTTTTGGAAGTAGAAAAGAAAAATATGATAGCAAAGTAAGCTGATCATAACCAGTTTTCAAGCAAATCAATTGAAGACTTATTTTTGAAGGTACACAGATTTTAATCAGAGTTTAATTTCTTCTGTCATAACCAAAATAGCCGCAAATTACAAACTTGTAAACAGTTTCCCAACAAAGTTGAAAAGAATTTATAGAGATAATAAATAAACTGAGGCTTAAGTAATGGCATCAATTCTTTCAACAATACAATTTGGACTAGGGAATAAATGGAAAGGAAAAAAAGCAGCTTTGTCTATATCGTTTCTAATAGACATATTTTAAAGTTGGAAGCAAATAAAGAACACAAATTTATTAGATTGATGTTAGCTATGTGTTGTCAGAAAGAATTCCTATAAAATTGGGTTTTAAATGTAAGCACAATTACACATTTTCAATTAACAGTTTTTTTCTCCATAAAAATTACAAACAAGGAAAATGAATTCTTTCTAAAAAAGAGTTTTCGATAGACATCAATATTTTTTTAGTTTACATGAATAAAGGCAAAATGAACATCAATAAACAAAATTACTTTCAACTTTAACATTTAGGCTTTATTGGAATTATCATCAGTCTTAAAACGCAAAAAACTGATTTGAAGCAGCAATAATCTTAAGAACATTTCTCAAGTTTAAAGAAAATTCCACTTGATGGGTATAATTTGATGGGTATAAAGAAAGCAAACCTAAAAGAGTGTCATTAGGCCAAACCTAATTGAAATTAAGAACCATTAACAGCTTCATAATGACAAATGAGTTGAATGGCCAGAAGTAAATTATTGCATGACTGTCTCCTCTATCCCAAAGTGGAACAAAATTATATAGTATTATAAAATATATCCAGTTTATAATGTAGTTAGATGATCTTTTTCTCCCACTGGTGTAAATAAATGATGTTTATATTGAAGCTTTTGAACATAACCACTGAAACAGACACTGGCTTAAATTATCAATAGCGGCAGCAGTTTTATTAAAAGTCAATTAAAAAAATGTCAACAGGTGTTTACTATTCAGGAATGAACATTCAAGTAGCATAAATATTTTTGAGCAAATAATTTGCAAATAAAAATGTTAATTGAAATATTCAATTATCATTAGCCAAAATATGGCAAGGAAAAGGTATAGGAAATATAACAATGTATATGCTTTGCTATGTTGAGTAGCACCAGAAAGATGATCTGTTTTGCTGAATACTACTAAGGTTATAAAGATTATATCCATTAGCAAAACCTTTGTTTCTTTTTCAATATCTCTCTTTTTCATGGGTGTATGTGAGATAGAAAAGAGAGAGAGAGAGAGAAGTATATATATATATATTTGGAGTGGGGGGGGGCACTCAGGTTTCACATCCTTGCATTCAAACATAAAGTGTAGAAAGGAAAAATAATGCTACTGCTGATAATGATAGCAGCTAATCACAGCCAGTCACAGTCGCTTGAAGGTGTTTATTCTTCAAGCATGCAATCCAATATTTTTTCTAGTTCCAATTTTGATAAAATCAAATCAAAATACCAAACTATTCTAGTTCTATTTTTTTTTTTTTATATTAGTGCAGTCAGGATGGGAGCTTCTTAAAGAAAATTAAATATTAGAGAGAAAAAAAACACACATACTAGCAGATAGAAAGAAAAGTAATTTAATTTGGAGTGGAAGGGGAGTAGGTAAATAAAAGCTTTATGGTCTGTAGAAATGGAGTACAATCTGAATATATTAAAAATATAAAAGAAAGGTCTTTTCATAAGAAACAAGTGTCTTATAGTCTTTTTAAATTAAGAGAAACATGCAAAACTTTCTTTTGGTTAAGGAAAAATGTTTTCACTTTTCACTTGTGTCAATTATTATCTTTTTCTCAGACATAAAACATAAAAATGATGAGAAAGATTTAATGAAGTTTTGGTTTGTGGAAAGATGAGAAGAAAATTGCTTAATGGTGATGAGAGAAGCTGCAGTGTCCATTTTCCATAATTATATCTCATCTGGAAAAACTGTAATGGTCAGTTTCCTGTGTAGCCACTCGTAGGTTTTGGGACATTCAACCTGAAAGGAAAAAAAAAAAAAAACTCAAATGTCAAGACCATAAAACATAACAAAGAATTAAATGATATACAATTCAATTCAGATTCATACTTGATACATGTAAAGAGTTTCTGAGCCATAGAAAATATTAAAAGACCACTTGCAGATAAATTTTCATCAAAGCAGAAAATAAGCAACTTTCCAAAACACTTTATAACTGAATTCTTTTCAAACACAACATTAATTCTAACATTTTAATGTTGGAGCAGTTAATCTGGTACAAGGCCATAGTAATATGGTACCAGATAAAACTGGGTATGCAAGCAAATTTGTTGAGACCAGTTTGCTAATTATTACATTAATTGTAAGGATTAAAAACTTGGACATTATCTGCTTGTCTTGAAAGATGACTGGATGGAATATGTACAAATCTACTTCGAAAAATCCAGAACATCAGTTGGAGATCCCATGCAAATCTTAACACAATTTACAGAGAACTGACACTAATCGCTCTTAAGCTCAAACAAAAACGATTACAGGTTGCCAGGCACTGCTACTGAGTGGACAGGGAAATTGTCTCATCTTTACTTTTATGGCATCCTTCTGGAAGTGTCTTCTCACAAAAAATGACTTTCCCCAGACACTATAGCTTAGGACTCTGTGTTGGACATTGAGGATCTGGGAACAGCAATGCAGGACTGAACAGTATGGAAAGGGATTGTCAATGGAGTTCTGACCAACTATAGAGAGGTCGAAGGATGATGATGAGGTACCATAATTATTGGCAGAGGGAGTCAAATAGTTATCATTGGTAGTTTCATAACGTATTTTCTTACTAATTTTACACTAACAACAGCAAGTATGTTCAAATTTATAATGTATGATATTAATAGGATGTTAGAAAAATTCATGAATTAAAACAATAGTGGCTCTATTTAGTTTTATAACTAAAAAATATTAGAAAATATCTTTGATAAATTTATAAATACTTTCCTCCAGCCATCATTCTAAATAAAAATTACCAGAGATGGATTATCAATGGCAAATCTCTAAGACCCATATTTTTTTTTTCAACGCATTCTAACTTTTGTGCTCATTGTTGTTTTTCTGTAAATTTCTGTTTCAAAATATCTTCAGTTTATTAACCTCATTATTTTTATGAAATAATAAAAGGAAAATGACCATGCTGGTTGCACATTTTCTTTGTTGCAATTGATAAAAAGAGAAAATTCATACGTACAGCATCAGGATCAGACAATTCATCAACAGATTCCAACATTTCTTCTATAAAGTCATTGGTCAATAAAACCTGAAATACAAAATTTCATAAATTTTTGTAAAATTCAATTAATAAGATTTAAATATTGCTAGGGGGTGTTAACTTCTCCCTATAAAGGACAATAACTCAAAATACAACTGACTTATGGCCCTTGTCTTCTAGTTGGGCCGTAGCACTTTTGAATTCAACATGCTAATAAGCTAATACGCACATGGAACTCATGGTTTAAATCCAAACAAATCCTTATTGTTCTCATGCAGTAAATGAATAAAAGTTATTTTATTATTTGTTAAAATACACTTGTCTTTATTTTTCATTCATTTTTGTTCATTCCAAAATTAGAGTTTGTTTCACAGTTGTGAGATACACAGATCTTGTTGCCAATGATTTGTATCCCTTTACACTTGTCAGGTTTCCTAGTGGTGATGATTCATTCCAGCAATATAATGCACCCCTTCTAACTCATTCTAAACTGGTGCTATAAAACTAGATCCAGGAATATTCATCTAACTTCCAGGAACTCCATTGACCTCTGTGTTTAGATTTAAATCCCATTGAGAATTTATGAGACATATTTCAGACCTTATTAAATTGCATGCAGATACACCCAATAAATACAACTCACTGAAGGCCTGGAATGTACATTAATATATCTCATGCAATGAAACCAGCACCTTAGAGACGCTATACCACATCACATAGCTGCTATTATTTAAACAAAGGGAGGAACTTCACATTATTAGATTGTTGTGTATAATATTGGGTGAGAGGGGTCTTCAGTTTAAAATGTTTCTAAACATGATAGCCAACATGATAAACACAGCAAAATAAAACGGAAATCAGAGGAACTAACTTAATCATGAAATATCTTAAAAAAATATTTGTTTCTCTAAAAATGATGTATAGTGTTCATACAGCTGGTTAATAATTTTGTACAATTTAAAAACAAATTTTAAAATAATAAACAAATTATATAAAGAAAAATTGGTGATAATGCAATTGTTTGGATGTAATGTCAATGCAATTAATGGTTTTTGAATTGCTAAAATTCATGATAATACTTTTTTTGTTGTCACGAGACAAGATCTCCTGAGCAGAACATTATTGAATGAGCAAAGATATGTAATTATGTTTTATCAGTGATTGCTTTCAGAAATGTCTATTTGAATCCTTTTTTATCCTTTTCTTTTTAAGACAGAGATATATGAGAAAAGCTCATATAATATAACTTTTGAATGGAAATTACAAGCACTCGTCAATATAGTATGAATCCACTCTGTAGTAATTTTGGTAATTCTTATGACCAATAGAAATGAATGTTTATCTTCTAAAAAGCCTTATGTCACCATCAATAAATGGACTATTAAGCAACTATTTATCTATATTGAACTTGAGGTTATGGTGGCTGGAACATTGTAACAAAACCAACAAAAATGAGAGTGTAAATTTACAAGAATATTTGTATAAAAACCATGAAAAATGTAGCTAATGGCAAGATATAGACTGTTTGAAATGTTTGCTTTTCAATCACAGAAATAAATTATAGTAACATTGATTGGTTTTTGTTGGTCACAACAGTGCAATCAAAACAGAGTTCAAGCAGTATCTTAATCTTGGAGGTATTTGTTTGCAAGCTAGTCTAAAAGACTTTACTACTTCAGTGAGTCAGATCACCATTGGGTGCTTCACATTTATGGTTTTATGCTAGAAAAAGCTAAGTTTACTAAATATCTGCAATGCCCAACCCCCACATCTATGGAACAATAGTGAGAAATCTTATCTACTATTGACTATTTTTCTAATAAACTGTACTACTCAACACTAAAAATATAATGAGTTTTAGGCATGATGTTTTTACTTAAGGCCAAGTCATAGTGCAACATGTGCGAGAAAACGGGGGGGGGGGCAAAAAACTCCCAAAACAACTTCTTGTGACACAAAAACGAACGCCTTCTCTTCCGAACGAACACTTTACGACAGCAAACGAGCAAAACGGCACCCAAGACTGCCGCCACCGGACGACCGACTGCAACGGCTTTTGTCGCCCAAGAAAAGACACCAAACGACTTGCACGTCGTCTTCTTGTAGTCCTCGGTCGAGTCCATTATGGTACTCCAAGGTGTGCCCGGCGACAACACACACACGCAGTTCGAGGACTCTTCCGCGCATGTTCGTTACACTCCTCCCTGATCTCTAGATCACACAAATGGCAATGTGGGGCAGGCCGTTTCTGCCTGGTGCTCTGTCTCAGTAGTATGGTCTCAAGTGCTTCCTCAGTGGTGCTCTCTTCAGATGTCTCGCTGAGCTCATCCCGCATAGGTTCATCAGGCATGCTACTCTCTGAGGTGGGCTCTTCCTGTGATTTTTTATATACCATCAGGGCTTCATCATCATCAGAAGAACTAACTTGGTTGCTGGTGGAATAATCCTTCCTGCACACTGGATGCACATTTTTTATGTGGCGCGGTATTCCATCAACAGAGACGGAGTGTGGACTATTAATTTGTGTCACTGTACCCTTGTTGAACTGTGTCATACACCTTCCATGAGGATTTTTCACCCAGTCTCTCCTACCGTATAAGGATTGGCAACTGTGTCGTCACGCACCAAAGCTGCGTCGATACCCTTAATGCGGACCCTGTAGGTGTAGGTTGCATTCGGCAGTGCAGTTGAAGCTGTTTTATTGTTCTTTGGGGTAACATTGTGTCAGTATACAGCTTCCAAAACTGAATACTCTGTTCTCATTGCGATGCGCTTTATTGTACGATGGGATCTCTCAACTATCCCATTTCCCGATGGTATGTGGGCACAGCGAAATCGTATTTGTACATTCCACATCTTTGCAAACGCGGCAAACCTCTCTCCACAAAACGCTGCACCATTATCTGTAAGCAGCTCAACCGGCAGCCCTCTTTCACAAAACACTACTTCCAACTCCTTGATGATGCTAGCAGAGCCTTGGCGGTGCAAGGGCTTCCAAATGGCAAAACGACTGGGGCCGCAGTCTATCAACATCAGGTATAGTTGATGTCCGAAATGGGTTACATCCATCGCAACCCTGTGCCAATTTTCCGCGACATCAAGCCTGCCTGGTTCCCAACGCACAGGGGCCGGGTCGATTGACTGGCATTCCTTGCATCCCCTAACCACTGCTCATTTGACTGCTGTGGAATCGGAGGAGTGGTACAAGTTAGCATTGGTGCAAAGCCGAAATAGCTTGTGCGAGAAAACGTGAGGGGGGGGGATGAACAACTTCTTGCGACACAAAAACGAACGCCTTCTCTTCTGAACGAACACTTTACGACAGCAAACGAGCAAAATGGCACCCAAGACTGCCACCGACGGATGACCGACTTCAACGGCTTTTGTCACCCAAGAAAAGACACCAAATTACTCGCGTGTCTTCTTGTAATCCTCAGTTGAGTCTATTATGGTACTCCAAGGTGTGCCCGGCAACAACACACACATGCAGTTCGAGGACGCTTCCGTGCATGCTTGTTACACAACACACACCCAAAAATGGTGGCTATCTGGAATCTAGTTCTGGGGGAAAAATTTTTTACTTTTGGTTTCGATTTGCAGTAGTTTCCTTCTGTAGTTAGCTTAAGAAATTCACAGAAAAGAAGTGGAGAGTAAGAGAATAATTAATTTGACTCAAAAAGTTATTCATTTTATCTTGGTATATTTTTTTTATTTAATCAAATCTTGTAATTGATATATAATTGGCAGATTTTCAGATTCATCATTACTTACCTTGTTAACAAGAATGTACAAAATGTCATATGCATTTTAATCTTTGACTTTGTTATTCAAGTTAAAACAGTTTTAATGAAACAAAAACCCTATAGGAAGTATGAATTGTGAAACAAAAATATGATATTAAAGTAACTTTTATTTGATTTGATTTTATTGTTTAGAAATAAAGTAACTATGTTATACTGACTTATTTTTTATGATTGTAGAAGTAAAAAAATAAATGCAGGGTTTAGCAGCAGGATTACAATTAACATTTTGTACACATTTTTTTTAATCAATTCACCTCAAGCAATGCAATAATGCCACTAAGATGCAACGAGCTACTGGAAGTAAAAGAGTAGGAAAAGACTATTATTGGGTTTCTGGTTCTTTAGAAGGAACCAGTCACTCAATAATAGTATAAATTTCAGAGTTTAGGTGGTGACATTAGAAGTATAATGTTGAAGTAGAATTTTAAAAGAAATGAAAACTCAATCCGAAACAGGAAGTAAAGGATAAACCGCTACACTTGTTCATTTACTATATGTAAAAAGAAAAGATTAAATTTATTAGTTAGATATGATTTTATTTTTACACAGTACTGCAGTGCCAGTTTAGTATGCTGTAAATGTGGAGGTGTATCATTAGCTTCTGTGTATAAATTCTCCAGTCAGGATGTTCTTGAAGCCCATAGTACTAATCTGAGGCTTTGAAAATAGGTTGCAATGAGAATATTTAGATACAACTTTCTGGCCATCCCATATATGAAACTAGCCTAATCCAGTTTTGAGCAAAATAGTGATCTGTATAATTTGATCAATGTTAGTCAATCTGCTCCTCATTCAGTATGGGCTACTACATGCAGAAATTGTAGGGTTTTGCTGCATTTTGTTTTCAAATATTTTAGATAATGATTGAACATTAACTTTTTATAAAAGATAATGCCTAGAAACTTGTGGTTTTCCACTACTGAGATTTCTGCTCCGTCTAATTTTAAATGTGGATCATTGTGCAATTTTCTTGATTTTTCAGAAATGTAGGCATTTGATCTTTGTTTTGGAAAATGTAAACCTATTTTCAGTTGCCCATTTGTCTATTTTATTAATATATTGAAGGAGTGATCTTTCATTGGTATTCATATGCCAAGATCTGTACATAATTAGAAAATTATTGACATATAGAGAGCTTCTCACTCCTGGGCTTAAGGTTTTAACTATGGAGTTAATTTTTATGCAAAATAGCATCACTGAAAGAATGCTTCCTTGTGGAACCCCTTTTTCTTGATCTTGCAGTTCTGCTAACATAACTTCCTATAGAGACTTGAATCCTCCTGTATTTTAGGAAATCCCTATGAATTAATAAGCCTTCCTTTTAGACCCATTTGATGTAGATCTTTCAAAATAACAAATTTCCATTGTCATATTATACAATTTTTTTTTAGTCAAAAAATACTGCTGTGAGATGTTCTTTCTTAATAAAGGTTCTCTTACAAAGGTTTTTTCTTGATACAAAGTGTTCCATGGTACTTTTCTTTCCTAAAAGCACATTGGTAGTCACCAATTAGGCCATTAGTTTCCATGTACCAAGACAATGTAGGGTCACTTTAACAGCAGTCACCTGTAAAGTAGTTGTCAAGTTTATTTTACTTTGGGATACATCATTCCTAACCAGGATAGATGTACTGCCAGATGCACAAGGCCCAGTGTCCTGTGTATGGTTGTATTCTTTTATATTCATTTTGGTAAAGGAATGTTTCCTGAAGGCAAACAACTGCCAGTGACAGGTCTGTTATTAACAGAAGCAGTTCATTTATATTATCTTCTAGATGACTGTTTAAATATTTTTTATCTTTAGCTTATGTGGTCAAATATGTGTCAAAATGTTTTTATACTTTAAAATTCATTTAAAAATGCTATTATTTCTTAGTGTAGTTTTTTATGAAAAAATGTGTTTTGCAATGAAAACATAAAATAATACAGTAAGTCCTAAAGAAATAAAATAAATCTTATACTTACTTCAATTAAATAAACTAAACTTATTTCAAATGTAAAAAGCAAAGATTTCTTAAACCAAACACAGGAGCAAACTACCATAAAAAAATCTTTGCTCCCATTGCAATGATGAGACTTGAGTTAGGCTTTCAATTTTGGGTCCAAGTTGCACATTATGACTTGGCCTTAAGCAAGCAATGCCACATTTTTTAAAATCTATAAAAAAATATTGATTGTTGCATTTATAGAAGAGAATATGGAGTAGTAAGAAAAGATAAAACTTGTGAATGTTTATTTGCAATGTAGAAAAATTATATTATTTGAAAAGAATATAAGTAATAGTTACCTGGAGCCAAGGTCCATGGGCAGCATATGGATGTTGTTCATCAGCTATGGAACCAGTAACACTGCTTGAAACTAAGGTTATGGCAACATCATTTAAAACACTTTTAAAGGTAAAATGTCTGCCATGTTTTAATCTGCCTCTGAAAATGATAAAAGTAAAAACAATTTTGTTTCATAATTAACCTTAGAGAATGATAAAATTTTTAACAAAGAAAATGCAAGATGAAAATCTCAGTGATATTCACATACATGACAAAGTTATAAATAGATCAATACAGATTATTAGAAATAGTTATTCTTTACATATAAATATTGAAATGAATATTTGATTAGAAAATAGATGAGGCTCAAAATACATAAATCATGTCAAATAGAAAAATTACTTCTTTTTTTCGCTTGTAATACTTAACAGATAGAATAATTTTGCATTAATTTTATACAAAGAAAATATTTAACAATTTCTTATTTTTGGCTTCATTAAGAGAATAAATTTTTACAACTTTTTATACAAACAAGTCACCATTAATCTTCGCAAACACTTATTTTTTCATTTGCCTTTGTAAAAATTTCAGTTTTTTGCTTTTGGTTTCAGATTGTTCATTAAAAAGATAAACTTCAAGCAAATCATTTAGTTTTGGATATGAAATTATACCACATATTTTGCTATCAATATTTTACTTGTGGTAAAAGTACGCAAATGTGATTATTGCTAGGAAATTTATTATATTGGAACAATTTTTGTAAATAAGGCCTTAGTAAAATTCAAAGCAAAATTTACTGCTCAAAATTGTTTGTTTGAAGAAAGAAAAATAAGAGTTAAGTTTTGTTTGTTTGAATTCAGAGTTGAAATATTTCTATTTGTAATTTTTTCTTTTGCCTTATTACTGTTTTCTATCACAATGTTCTTGCTCAACATACCTTCTGATCATTGAATTAAGCATTAAGAAGTTGGAATAAAAGTAGCTTCTGAGATATCAACATTTCATTTTCATTTCACATTATATTAATAGTCAAAGAGTCTGCTTTTATAAAAAAAAAAAAAAAAAAAAAAGTAACAAGGAGAAAATGCAAAAATGTATTCATATTTTTTAACTGAAATAATATCTTACTTCAAGGCAAGTGGCAGTAGCGAACCAGCCTCAAGGCTCAATTTCAAATGGACATTATCAAGTGATTGGGTTCGGAATAATTCTGATGGAACTTGAGGCTAATGTGCTGTCAAATGATTCTTTCCTTGAACCACTTTGGTGGCTGAAAAAAAAAAAAAAAAAAAATATATATATATATATATATATATATTACTTATTATAAAACGCAGGTTGTGTGTGTGTGTGTGTGTGTGTGTCTGTAACGTTTATATGTTGGATCGAATTTCCTACATTTTTAGCCGATTTCAACAAAACTACACAGGACTACATAAAATTACCTTGTGGTGGTTCTAACGGGCCCGAAAATGGGAAAAAGGCAGTTGTTTTTAATAAAATCAATTTGAAAATGCGATTAAGACACATCGTGAGAATGGAAGGGGACAACTCACCCACGAAAATGTAAACAAATGAGCATAACATGATGAAAAAAAAAACTTTGACGAAAACAAAATTTTATCGTCTAATGTTCATATTATTATTAAAGAGGAAAGATCAAAGTATTTTGGGGGTATTTTTTTTACATTTTTTAATTGTTAGGAAAACTTTCAGCGCTCTAATTTTTTATTTTTTTTTGTACTTAGCTTTCATTTTTATGTTTACGATGCTTTATGGAAAATATAAAGAAATTAAAAAATAAGACTGTTAATAGTGAGATTAAATTTCATAAGAAAAAGGTGTTTCAGACCCGGTAGGGTGCAGTGCTGGTTTATTACAAAGTGGCCTTGTGCCAGACACCACACTTAACTACCGAGTCCACAAGCAATGTATAAAAAAAAATAAAAATGCGTGAATGAACAGTGAGAGGAAAGGGGTCAATCAACAAGTGCATAAATTAATAAACATCAAAGAGATAGCTGGAATAAAATGACAAAGACGTCTGTTTGTAAAACATGTGTAACTTTTATTAGATTTAGATGGAAACAAGTAGATTATCTCGTGGTACGAGATCAAGGAAAAGTTCCGCGCCTAAATAGAAATACAAGATGAACAAGGCGGGAAAAGGGTTTTATAAGGTTCTGGAAAAAGGAACTCGTTAAACACGAGGTGTATGTGCACAGATAGAAAGGAGTACTCACTGTGGATTTTTTTCGTTGAGAGTGTATGTGATTTTGTGTTTTTTCTTTTTATGTTCAGGTTCAAAGTAGGGTCTCAGAGTTCGGTCAGGTCTTGAATTAACTGTTGAAAATTTTAACAGAATGCTGTGGACGTCTAGCCAAAAGGACGAAGAGTTATTTGCGGTTGGTTGCATCGTCTATGAGAAGTTAATTATGGCGAGTCCAGAAAGGACGAAGAATGTCTGTTCGTCAGTAAGATATCCCTGTCTGTATTTAAGATTGACTGACGTAGTGATGAGGGATAAAAATAAGCCACTTGTTGAATACGAAGTTTTGCTCACGACTGTGTCGTGTGTCTCGAACGCCTTCTGGTTGAAGACGGAGAAGGTCTGACCTGCGGGCAGCTTCAAGACGAAAGAAGTCTTGGTAAAGTGTGAGGTCGACATTGTTGAGATAAAATATTCCGCCCACATATGGGTTAAGGGCACGGAATAAATGAGTTGCCCGCCTACTCAGAACAACTGGTTTGCAAATGCTGGCCGTTTGAGGCGCCTTAAACGCGGGAAAAGATTCAAAATCTAATTTGCATAAACAGCAGTAGCAGCTGGTCGTTTGCAATCAGCAACAGAAAATGGCTTACTGCTATGTCTGACTGAAAGAGAAAGGAAGGGGGCAAACGCGTGCACACACGCGTGAGTGTGAAAGGAAGGGAGGAGAAAGAAACTTGTAAAATAAGATGGAATTAATCGTTAATTCCATAAAGGTATCTAATTAATTTAGGGAACCTTTCTTATGAAATTTTATCAGAAGTGTACATAAAATACTATAATTTTATGTACATTTATTACATTTTTTAAAAATCTTTTTAAAATTAAAGAAATAAGAAATAATTGTATTAAAAATTCAATTTTCATTGAAAAAATTTTTTGCTTTCAGAAAATATTGTCCATATTCATAAAAACAAATTAAAACAAATAAAAGCATTTGAAGCTAAATAATATATTTGTTTTGTATGTTACAATTCACAGCTGATTTTCAGGTACGTTGGCCAAAAAAACAAAAAAAAAAAAACATGATTTGCATTCTTCAAAGCCTTGTGCTTTTAACTATTGTAATCACTAAAACCGATGGTCTCGAATTTCTAGAGTTTTTCATAAAATTAGTTATGGGGGTGTTAATAAATATAAAAAAAATATTTCTGCCATGACTTTAATTAAAAAAAAACATATTTATAATAATTTCGATAATCTGTGAATAGTTTCTGAAAGTTTCATTAACATCTGACAATTATTTTTATTTTTGCAAGATTTTCCAAATTAATGTGTGTAAATACAAAAAAAAACGCGCTAAACATTATCTATGTTATTTACTACCTCAATTTTAGCCACCCCTGTCTAGAAAAATAGATTTATCTGTAACCTTGGAAACATGAATTTTGTTTTAGCTGTGTATTTAAAACCCAGTAATTTTAAAAAGTTACTCCAAAATTCGCTTGAGGATGAAATGGAACTAATGTCTTTAATTTAATCACAAAATTAAATTTGTGGCTTTTAGCTTCCATTTTTGAAACATGGTTAGAACTGTGTAGCAAAAAAAAAAAAAAAAAAAAACAAACATATTTTAAATCAATTAATTTATAATATATAAGACAACCATTTTCTAATAACTAAAAAAACAAAGTTGAAATCATAAAAGTAATGCTTTATGAAGATTTAAGAATAATCATCAAAATCAGTAATAACAAAACTTAGCTGTACTTACTGTAGAACATCAAGGTTTTCATTCTGTTCAGAGAGCAATGTTGAATTTAGGAGTTTTGTATTATTAAGACCTTTTTTTAGTGTTGCTTTAATTTGTTCAGATTCTGGAGAAAAAGAAGAATCAAATAGGTTTACTTTTGACAAAAAGCAAAAAAAATAAAATAAAAAAATATAAAAAAAAACAAGCCTTTTTTTTTTTTAACAAAAGCATTAATCAAGATAAATAAAAGCTTTTGTAGAGGTGTGAAGATATTTAACTGCAAAGAAATTCAGGATGAAACAAAAACAGATTCCTACCTAAATAAAGAAAATTGTTTTTGTAAATGACAATGAAAGCACAAAGAGAATGCAAAAGTGTAACAAAAAGGAAACATACTAAGCTTGGCTAGTTAAGTGTGGAAATCATTCAGGTGGTTAAATCCAACCTCAGGGAAACTTAAATTATTTTTTATATACTTCTGAAATCAAAACAAAAACTTTTAAAATAGAAACAGTGAATATTTTTGTCTCAACATAATGTAGAAAATGAAATCCAACTGGTACATAATTAACTTATTGTACAAAGAAATTTAAATGTGACTGGATTCCCTGCCCATTTGACTATGACTGCACACTCTTGTTCAGGCCTATTACAGCATTCTTGTATGCCCCAGTGGGTCATTGCATTTACAAGTGTGAAAGTTAAAGAAGATAATATCATTGCCTGTGTTGCAGAGAGCAATGGTCATCCTTGAAATATCAATATTTATAGTAATATAGAATATTGTTTATAGATGAGAAAAATAATCTGTGTTTTGTCAGAATTATTAATATAAAATGTCAAAACAATAGTGTTGATATGAACTATCGAATACCAATTGAGAAGAGACTGTTCATTTAATCATGAAGGGGGAGAGGTCAGTAATCAGGTTGTATTCTAAGTTTATCAACACTCTGGGTTTTTGTTGCTACCACTGTGTTTATTTAAGGGCAGGGTTTGTGTGAAAACAAAAAGTCAAAATTGAATGTTGAAGTAGATTGGAGCTGGGTGAAGTGAGTTGATAAGCAGTCAGCCAGAGAGAGAGAGAGAGAGTTAAAGCATCCGCTTACTGTTGTAATAAGGGAGGAAGTGAACTCAAGTTATCTGCAATATTGGCGCAATACTGCCAGTGAACCCCCCTTATATCCTGAGAGTGAAATAATTACGGTAACTACTAAGAACAAAAAGGGTGAACTCGAAAACTACTTCTCTCCTTTCAAAATTATTTGCAATATTGTTTTTTTTTTTTTCTGGTCTTTATTTCATATACACTACTTACTTGTAAAAGAAGCATTATTCTTTTTGTACCAATTTCTTCCTTATATACATATACATAAATTTTTCTTTGGACTCAAATTGACTTGTTCATATTTGAATTTTCTGCTTGGCAAGACCCCAAACAAACTTGCAGGTAGACCAGCTGAACCTTCTGGGATCTACAGTTTGTTAATTGCTCTCCAGGATCAAAAAATCACATGGCTGGAAAGTGGAATCAAATAGACATTGTGAACCGGAGACTTTGATTGAACCTGTAGTACTGGACTAGGACAGGATCAATGGTCAGTCTTGTAGAGTACATCAATCCAGTGGGGTCAGGATAGGTATTACACCTGTGTATGGTAATTCTTCAATTATATAGAACCCTGGATTGGTAATTGAAAAGAAAAGACAAAATAAAAAAAAATATGAGTCAACACCTGTGGATTTTTAATTCTTGCTTTTATTCTCTTGGAATGACTCCAGTGAAGATAGATACAAATCTAGTAACAGAAGCAAGCTATTTGGATAACAATGTGGCTACCAGTTGATGAAACAATCCAAAGAGGTTCTTTTCTTAACCAAAAAGTAGAGGACAAATCAAGCAGTTGATATGTATCCTGATGAGTGGTGTGCCTATTTTTTAAGGGTTTGCAGTCATAGATCAGAGGCTATTTGATTCTATGTTATTTCTGTGCTGAAGTAAACCATTTTTCCATGCTTTAAAATCTATATTGTCAAATAGTATTAAAAGCAAATATAAGATTTCATTTTTTAAATTATCTCCCTTGAATCTACTCACCGTGGCTTAAGTTATGTCGGATCTCGTATATCAAAGCCATCCATGTTTTGGGTGGAACTCTAGGTTTGGTTAGTGTTAATTAATCTTGTTAGTTCAATCTAAGTTAAACGGGGAGGGGGGGGCGTTTCAAATCTCATAAATTCAAAGTAAAATTAAGGAGCCAATTTCATTTATCTTATCTAATTAATTTTCTGATAAGTTCTTTTCACAATTCTGTTAGCCAATATGAATTTTTAGGGAAAGTTCTCCAGTGTACATCAGGCCATTTACACTATATACCATAAGTGTTCCTGAAAAGAAATCCAGATTATTAAATCTCTCCAAGCAAGTAATCAGATTCTAAAATTGTTTTCCTTTCCAAAAGTAGCCAAAAATATCGAGATATTTAGGACTCCTTAAAGTAAAATAGTGTTACGTACTTAATGATTGTATAAATCAGGCCTATAGTATTTTTCAAGGAAACCTGAACAATTTACCATTTGTTGAAAGAAATGTGAATGTTAGCAGGAGAGAGCAGTCTTTCAGTGTTACAGGTCACTGTTGGACAAAATGAAAATTGTTACTCTCCTGTTATATTATACAATTTCTGAATCTAATAATTACTGGTAAAAAAAAAGAAAAAAATGCAAACTGTTATCACCTATTTGTAAACAAGTGTTGACAGCACTCCTAACAATTACTGTAACTCCATCAGGCTACCACAAATATATCACACTAAAACTTGTGTTTGGTGAACATATTTGGCATAACACAGAAATTAATATAAAATAATAAAATAGCAACACAAATTCAGTATTCTATTAACGCAGCACACATTGCATCCAACAGCTGATACACTAAGTGCAAACACTGACCAAAGTGTTGTTTAATTTAGGTGGCTATTCAGAGAACTAGATATGGTATGACCACATATAGTTTTGGCACAAGTTATCATATACTGCTGATAAACTTCATTTACCAGTACTACTAAGTTTTGAGCCACTAGATCCTATCAACTTATAAGGTAGGTATAGACCTAACTCAGAATTTTGAGTTAAAAATTGTCAACTTGTACACCACAATTTACAGTATTTTGTACAAACTGGGGTGGGGATGGAAAAAAAACCCTGAAAATAATGACACAAATTGTTGTAGTTATCTTACCCAGGTCTGATATATGTGGTCTTTCAAGGCTACAACGTCGTTCTTCAACTCTCAATTGATTTTCTTTATTTTCTTCATTCAAATTGCAGCCATTCTGAGGCAGTTCATCCCAACAGCACCTTCCACTTACCCCACTCAAATTAGAACCTTCTTGTTCAATCCCACTGTCTACTCGTTCCTGAAAAGACACATACATACACAAGAACAATTGCTGATTTGGCTAAGTTTCTCGTCTTCACAAATCAGAGGTTTTAAGATAAAGCCGAGTGATATTTTTTTGGTAATTTCTCTTATTTTGTTAGTATAACATTTTAGTTAGTAATTGATTTTTTCAAAAATATTGATACCTAAATTAGAGATAAAGAATTAGAATTGACTGTATTCTGTTTTATTGATAAAATCTATGCTCTAGAGTAAATCTTTACATGTACTTGAATATTTCATTATCACTCCAATATATTTAAATAATATTACATTCTAAGGACTGTTTGGACAATTAAGATCACTTTTTCGCTATTATTAGTCTTAAGTCAAAATAACTCTCAAACAGTCAAAATAGCTCTTGAAATGATAAAGCCTCATCTGAAAATTACAGAAGTTGTTATTAAACAAAATGTTCATGAAATGTGATAATTCAATGATAGAAGATAAAATTTAAGTATATTAAATGTTGTTATCAATGTAAAAGAAAGGATTTTTTTAATTCCTTTTCTGTTATATGAAATATTTAATTTCATATAACAGAAAAGCAATTAAAAAAATAAGATACATTTTATGAACATTTCATTAATAATTTAAGGAATTTTTAATATTTTTTAATGATAAATGTACTTCTTTATGCTGAAATCTTAACCTATTATAGCATTTCTGATCTTGCCTCCTGTTGGCACAAATAATACCTAAGGAGATCATATTCTTTAGTTATTAAAAATCATTTTTGGCAAGAAACCAATTTTTGTATTGTAAAGTGAGAATTGAACTTATACTTCAACCACTTTGAAGAATAACACATCACGTCCAATTGTTGTTTTACTAAGATAAAGTAAATCCCATTTCTTCCACTATAGTTGCACTTACTTGTAATGTTGGATCCAATTCAAATATGCTTTCCCCTCTCCTCATGTCTGTATTCAACCATGCACCTCCAGCTCTATTAAAATCAAAGAGAAACATGAGAACCAATTAGAAAAGAGTTTTCAAATAAAATGGTGACAAAAATGTCTAAACAGTTTAAATGTGCATACTACAGTTAGTAATGCTTTCTTTTCATTTTTAACAATGGGACAGAGAATAATGAGTTTTTTTATCATTTACTGAGCAGATATGTAAATGTAATAATACTATTTTTTTTTCTTTAACTATATTCATCTTGAATAAATGTAAATATTTATGACATTTCTTCAGCAAAAAACAAAGATTTTTTAACTGTATGAAATCAATGTTTTAATCTCGCTATATATTTAGGAATAGGATTTGAAGATATAATGAAAGTTAGCAGCATTAACTAGATGTTAGGATCAGATTTTTTGTTATACTGACTAGACGTAAACTTTAATATCTAACAACACTGGTGTCTGAACTTTGATAAAACAGTTTTGTTATGATAAATAAATTTAGGTTAGTCTGGCATATGGCCACAATAAACAAGCACAGTGAATACTGACTGAACAGATTACACTACTGAATTGTTGTTCCCAAACTTTTCCTAGATACCATTCCACTGGCTCCCAGACCAGATTCCTAGCATCTCACTTCTACACATATATGAAAACACTTCTTTCTTAATATTAGGTATAGTGCAAATTCAAAATAACTAATCTACCAAAAAACAAATCAGTTTGTTTAACAACAAGAAAGAGCAACTTTACGGTCTTAATGGGAAGAATGGTACTTTGTGCTAAGAGAATCAGATAACTTACAATGAGGTTAAATTAAATCATTGTTCACCAAATAAAAAAAATAATCTGATCTAGCACTTACACAGACACAGAACGCAACAATTCAATAACTCCAGGGCCATTCCAGTGTTGTGCAGCCTTTAATTCTTCACTGCAGACTCCTACAATCTGATAAAAAAAAAACATCATAATAAAGCACAGCATTTTTGTGGAACAAAGAATAAAATGTGTTTGAATAATTTTTTAAAAGTAAACAATTAAGTGAGAAGCATTTTTTTTTAAAACAGCCAAGTTATTTAAAAGATTTGTCAGCAATTTTTAAAATTTTTTATCAACATGCCTGTTACTTTAAACACATTATTTAAACTTGCTGTTTATATAACCAGTAATATTGTAAGATTTATTAAACAAATTTACCAAAACTTTCATTCACTTTAGTTATTACAGAGGGAGACAGTAAATTATGGAAATAGAAAAGGAAAAAAAAATAAGTAACAGTAGTTGTGTATTTTTATAGCACTGATTGATTTGAATCTGCTTATATAAGCAAAGTTTCAGGTTTTCTTTTTCAGCCTCATGATAGGCAACTACTTTTCTGTCATCATTTTATGCATTAACAAAGTAAATGTTCCAGACAGTAAGATTAGAAAATATGGATGATGATTAAACACTTAATTTTGCAGTTTCAGATCTAAACATTGAGTAACACTTGGCAATTGGCTAGTATAGTGTATTAAAAATAAGAAAGAGATTGGTGGGAATTAATATAAACATTACTGACAAAATAAGACTATTATATAATTTTAATGAATCTCTAAAAGTGTAAAAAGTATGACAATCCATGTTGACTTTTTCAATTTACTTGCATAGTTGTGAAAAGTGGGAAAGCACAGTTCACAGGTTATCTGAAGCAAGATCTGTGTCAGTGACCACAATTGCATTTATTTTTAAATTAATTTTTTTTAATTTTCTTTTTAAAGTACTGAAGAAAAAATATGCCAATTTTTTTGTTTTACAAATTTTCTCAAAGAAATGAATTAAATGCAAGCAGCTCCGATTTTAATACACAGGTGAATAATTTCAGAAAAAAATGATTAATTTGTTCTTTGCTTTTTGATAAAAAATGTAAAAACAAGACTAACTTGTATGAAACTAACAACACCAAATGGTGTTATAATTGGTTGAAGTTGTGCATCTTCTGTCATGAGCATATGCTGGATTCGAGATTCACTGCCATCAAGAGGGGCATGCCAAGAAACATGATCTCCACTGCATAAAATGTTTTCTGTAAGCAGTGAAAAAATAAATGAGAATAACAAATATTAAGATTTTTGTTTTCTTTCAAAACATTTTGATCAAAACTGATAAATTATTAAGGAAACTGCTAATTGTTGATTTTCATTTATTAGTTATAAATGTTTTTTTAATAAACACTTGAGGTAAAGAGAACTTCAACAATAAAAAAAAAGAAGTGAAATCAATGGACAAGATGGAATACTAACAAAAATAATAGAAAAAATAGATGCCAAATGAATATTGCAATAATCATAAAGGTGTCTCTCACCTGACTGAAAAACATAACGAGCCAAGGATTGCATCAGAGCAGCAGGCCAGGTGGGGGGGTTAGTTTCACCTGGCTCTCTACGTAATCTGAAGGTCAACTCAAAACCAAAACCACTTGGACCATCATTACTATTACTTCTCCTGAAAATAAAATTTACTTTGATTTCTAGAAACTGAAACAAGATTTCAAGAATTCCTCTTAATCAAAACAGATTTTACCTGTTTAACAAATCTAAATAGAAAAGTTGTGGCTGTTGACATTTAAAATTTTTTTCTGGCCTGAAAGTACTTTTAAGAAATACAGGCCTTTTTCAACATGTTTACCATCTCTTGTAATATTTCCTTAAATTCAAACAATTTATGAATTTTTAATAACTTTACTTTTCTATAGGGAACATTTCAAATATTAAAAATGTTAGCAGCAAAATTCAATATCATTCTAAAAGGAAAAATACATTTAGTGTGAGAATCTATAGCAAAAATACAAGATTCAAGATGGCCTTTAACAAGCTCTCTTCACTATATTTGGTGAGATTCAAGGGGAACTCTTTATTATAATCATTGGAACAAACTGTTACAGTACAGTGCCATAATGAGCAACTGGCTCATTGGAATGACATTGAAAGAGAAAAAGCTTTTCTGTGCAAGTTGATTACTAATTTAGTTGTATAACAAAACTTCATGCTGCAAATGTAACACAGCAAACAAGATAGAAACAAAATGGGAAGTTCTTCCACATGGTACCTATGAGAGATTGCTAAAAAAGAGCATAGCATGATGAAAAAGATGCCAAACTTGATGAAAACAAAATTTTATTGTCTAAATGTTTATGTGAGAGGAAAGAACAAAGTATTTTATAATTATTTTTTTAAAATTTTCCCTTCTTTTTAGAACATTCTAACTTTTGATTAAAAAAAACCTTGTTTCTCTTTGTATCAGCAGAACTACTAAATAACATATAAAATTTTAGCACATTTTTTTTGTATGACAGACATTAATTTGGAAAATCTTGCAAAAATAAAAAATAATTGTCAGATGTTAATGAACCTTTCAGAAACTATTCACAAATGATGGAAATTATTATAAATGTTTTCTTTTTTTTAAAGTCATGGCAAAAATATTTGTTTTTTTATATTTATTACCACCCCCATAACTAATTTTATGAAAACTCGAGAAATTCAATACCATTCAGTTTAGTGATTATATTAGTTAAAAGCACAAAGCTTTGAGGAAAGCAAATCATGTATTTTTTTTTTAATTCAACCCCCTCCTACCTGAAAATCAGCTCTGAATTGTAACATACAAAACTCAATAAAACAAAGATATTAGTTAATTTCAAATACTTTCAGTTGTTTTTATGAATATGGATAATATTGCCTGAAAGCAAAAAACTTTTTCGATGAAAAATGAATTTTTAAAACATTATTTGTTATTTCTTAAATTATTTTATTATTTTTACATTAAAGTTGTTAAAATATTTTAAACTTAGTTAAAACGGCATTCAGTTTAGTCAATGGTGTTATTAAATAGATCTATCTTTTAGCATTACAAGTTGTATAGTTATAACAATTGAAAGAGCTGGATGTTATAAAAAAAAAACTGATTTCAGATAGCTTTTGTGTCCATAAAATGACTGTAATTCAAATGTACAGAAGACCAGCAAGAATACAATAAAAAGTCACGTTATTTGAGTTAAGCGTTGTTCTCCACTGTTAGTGCCTTTATTTTTCTGAAACATGTGTGAATTTGATTTTTCATTTTCAACTGAGAAGGGTACCTACAAGTATCAGTATCATCTTATGAAATATATATGATCTTATTTTTATATTATCTCAGTTATGATATTTTTCTATAAATGAAATATCAAAATTAATAATAAAATGAATAGAAATACAAATAACACAGTAAAATGTAATAAATGTACATAAAATTATAGTATTTTATGTACACTTCTGATAAAATTTCATTCTCAACAGTCATTTAATTTTTTTATATTTTCCATAAAGCATTGTAAACGTAAATGTGAAAGCTAAGTACAAAAAAATAAATAAATAAAATTAGAGCACTGAAAGTTTTCCTTAAAAATAACGAGGTAAATAAGTTGGTTAATGTAAATAATTATGTCACTTTTGTCCTTCTGTACAATAACTTTTCGTTATGTAAGCTGTCAATACATGATGAAATCATCACCTGTCAAGTGGCACTAAATGTGCTTTGTCTTATTTTTAAACTACATCTTTTCAGCACAGAAACTAAGTAATGCTTGTTTCAAAATATTTTAAATAAACTTTATAATTTCAAATTTTCTTAAAATAAATTTTGAAAAAAATTATAATTGATTTTTAAAAGAATTTAAAACTGAGATTTTCATTTTTTTTAACAAAAATGGAAAATAATGGTTGCCATGACTGATTATCTGTCAATTTTGCTGACTCAAAAGAAAAAGATTTTTAATGAAAATTTCAGATGTGCTAGGAACAATTAAAAAATGTAAAAAAAATATCCCAAAAATATTTTGATCTTTCCTCTTAATAATAACAAACATAAAAAAAATAATAATAAAAAATTAATTTCATCAAGTTTAAAGCTCTTTTTATTCATGCTATGCTCTTTTTTTTAGCGATTCCTCGGAGGTACCTACCTGTTACATAGTTTCATTCCATATAAAATTCTTTACATGGTCAGTAGTTCCGTTAAGTTCAAGATCTCATCATCTCAAAAAATGATGCTATGAATAGGTACATCAATAAGTCCAAACTTGATGGTGAAAAATAAATTATTTTAGACAACATCTATTTTTCAGCATCCTTACTTTGAATACGGCTACCACATTTGGTTTGGTGCTCCTGATATATATTTAGGGATTCTTGATAAAATCTAAAGAAGAATATGGAATGTTATTGATCATGACCTGTCATCTCAGCTTCAGTCACTTTCCCACAACCATAATGTAGCTTCCCTGTGCCTTTTCTATAAATACTTTCATGTTAATTGTCCTGATGAACTTTCCTCTATGATACATAGACTTTATGAATTTAAATACATTACTAGATTGGTAGCAAGTTTTAATAATTTTACAGTTGAAATGGCTGCTAGATGGAACCATAAATTCTATGTTAACAGTTTCTTCTATCGCACATTTTGCTTTTGGCTTCTTGCTTCCAGGTCAACTTTGATCTTCAAAAATTTAAATGCAATATCAATTACTATGTTATCTTCTTAATATTTCCTTTATTGTTCTCTCTTCTTAATGTTTTTTTTCTCATATTCTTTAACACTCACTAACCCCTTGCATCTTAATGGCATTATTGCCTTGCTTAGGGTGAAATGACTAAAAAAATAATTAAAGAAATCTCCTTACTTGTCACTGTACTTGACCCACTACTTCTATATTAATCACACACACACAGTGTCCAGCTATAAATACAAGCAAAATGCTGCCACACTTCCACCCCTTACAGATCTTTTGATCACAGCAGATACTGCCCTGGGAAACCTCTTTTATCAAGTTTATGAAAATCTTGCATTTGTTCTCAGATAATGCATTGAAGTTGACACCCGTTGGTACCCTCAACTCTAGAAATGTATGAAAATCTTTTACATAGTGTGATGTCAGATTAATCAGGATTGAATCTTAGCTGACAATTCTAGTCATGTGTCCAATCACAAACTTGGTCATGTATCAGTTTTACAGGGCTTTTACTCAGACAAGATCATCCACCTTGTAGGATTATCTATTTTGAGTTCTGGTGCTGGTACCATTCAACTAAAATTCATATGACTTGACATCATTTGTAGGTATAATTGGGTACAAGGCATTGTCTGTTGAAGATATGTGCTACCATTATACAGCTTCATGGAAGAAAAACTGCATTCTGGCCACAATCCTTTACATGATTCTGTAGCAATGTTCTACTATTCCGTTTCCTTCAGGGATGTGCACACATTGGAAATGCAGGTACACATCCTACCTTTTTAAAAAGAACTTGAACATTACCTGTGAGAAGCTCAAGTGGTAGACCTTGTTTGTAGAACACTGACTCTAGGTGGAATATATTGCTTGACAAGTTTGGCAAACCAGCAATTGCCATGCAGAGAAATGTAACAAACCGTAGTTGTTAAGTGTTAGGTCATGTCCATTGCCCTAGTTGTGCATTGCCAATCTCTGCTACATATCTTCCACTACCACATTTGTCTTGTCTATTATTTGGCACTATTTGTATATTCTTGTTACTGACTTGATATCTTTCTTAAATGTGGAAGTGCAAATATGTGGTGCATCCCATCCTTGCCATGTTCACTATGTTGGTGTACAACTGGGATTTGATTAGGGTCCAATTTCCTTATGGAGGTAGTATACACTAATAATAGCAGTTCAATCCCCTTCTTCATTAAGTCAAATCACCTCTGTGATGCCCGAGCCAATCTGTCAGCTCTGACATCCACAGAGCAACCCATACTATTGAACTAGATGACTGAGTGTACACAGTCACCTATATATTAGCATCTTGCTAGTGGCCTTAGTGCATATGATTGTTTTGCTGGTTAGAGCATCTAAGTTTCAGTAGTACACACAAGGAGTTAGTCTGCAAATCTAACACATTGGCCTGCCAATGGAGGGCCAGGTTGATGTGTTGAGCATCATTTACAGGATGTAATCAAAACCCATCTTCAGTCTCACACATTTCCACTGTTAGGGAAATAGCATCAGCCCATATATTCATTTCCTACTTTCTCATTTTCCTTAAGCAAGGTTGCTCTGCTTCAGTTTTTGCTGTGGTCTCCACCATGTTTGAGGGAGATATCAGTCACCCCATTATTTAAGCCCTTAGTAATTGCATTTATTCTTTGCCTAATTATGCCTGTTGCCATGTGAAGCCATCCACTGGAAGGTGCCCTACAAGAGAAATGTTCTGCTACATAGAAATGTCAGGCATGTCTGGAACCATATTTCTGTTTCCATATCAAGATTTCACGCTCTCTCAGATATCCAAACCCAACATGCAGACATCATCCTCTGGTATCCTTAAATGGTGTGCATTAACATTTATTGATTTAAATATCATTGATGTATGCCAATGTTGTTTTCATGATTGCCTCCTCTTGAGATAGCATGGCACTGATGATTGATTTCATTATTTACTCTGACGTGTCCAGTTTAGCTCAATCTTGTTAGTATAATTTCCCATGAAACATCACTCACTGGTATGACCATAGTGATTCATAGACTTGCATAAGAAGGTAGGCTACATTAAGATCCAATAAGGATGATTTAGATTCTTGCAGATGCCATTCTCTCAGTTTACTTGCACAGGCAAATGGATTAGTTGTAAATGTGTCACTGTACATGTTGACCTACTTGTAGTTCATCACTTTTATCTAGGTACCTCCACGAAATCGCTAAAAAAAGAGCATAGCTTGATGAAAAAGACGCCAACCTTGCCGAAAACAAAATTTTATTGTCTAAATGCTTATGTTATTATTAAGAGGAAAGACCAAAGTTTTTTTTTTTATTTTTTTAAAAATTTTCCTTCTTTTTAGAACATTCTAAATTTTGATTAAAAAACCTTGTTTCTATTTGTATCAGCGGAACTAGTAAATAACATAGACAATTTTTAGCACGTTTTTTTTGGTATGACACATTAATTTGAAAAATCGTGCAAAAAATAGAAATAATTATCGGATGTTAATGAAACTTTCAGGAACTATTCACAGATGATCGAAATTATTATAAATATGTTTTTTTTATGAAAGTCATGGTAGAAATATTTTTTTAAATATTTATTACCCCCCCAAACTAATTTTATGAAAATGCTAGAAATTCGATCGCATCGGTTTTAGTGATTACAATAATTAAAAGCACAGGGCTTTGAGGAATGCAAATCATGTTTTTTTTTGTTTTTAATTGGATATGCAGTACCTGAAAATCAGCTCTGAATTGTAACATACAAAACTCAATAAAACAAAGATATTATTTAATTTCAAATGCTTTTATTTGCTTTTAGTTGTTTTTATGAATATGGACAATATTTTCTGAAAGCAAAAAAATTTTTTTCGATGAAAAATGAATTTTTAATACAATTATTTGTTATTTCATTAATTATAATAGATTTTACATTTAAGTTGTTAAAATATTATAAAATTAGTTAAAAAGCCGCATCGGCTTTCATAAGTGTCCTTATGAGATAGATCTTTTTTAGCGCATTGTAAATTGTATCATTTTGACTAATCAGAAGATCCCCAGTAATTAAGAAATGTAATTTTGTGCTTATAATCGAGCTGTAATTATAAAATACGGAAGACCAACCAGAATATAATTAAGTTGCGTTATTTGAGTTAAGCATTGTTCTCCGCTGTTAAGGCCTTTTACTTTTTGCGAAACACGTGTGGAGAAGTTAATTTGATTTTTCAATTTCAACTGAGAAGGGTACCTACAAGTATCAGTATCATCTTATGAAATTTATATGATCTTATTTTTTATATTAATCTCAGTTACGACATTTTTCCATAAATGAAATATCAAAATTAATAATAAAATGAATGCAAATACAAATAACAGTAAATGTAATAAATGTACATAAAATTATAGTATTTTATGTACAATTCATAAAATTTCATAAGAAAGGTATATTTAATTAGATACCTTTCTTAAAATTCAAATTTAATGTCACTCTTAACAGTTTTATTTTAATTTCTTTAGAATATATTTCCCATAAAGCATCATAAACGTAAAGGTGAAAGCTAAGTACAAAAAAAAAAAAAAAAAAAAAATTAGACCGCTGAAAGTTTTCGTTAAAAATAACGGGGTAAATAATTTGTTCACGTAAATGTAAATTATTTCACTTTTCTCCTTCCGTAGAACAAATTAGCCTCATGGAATTCGTAAATATATCATTCATCACATGTCAAGAGACGCGAAAGTTTATGACCTGCTTTGTTTTATTTTCAAATTACATCTTTTTGGCACAAAAGCTAAGTTAAGTTTGGTTCAAAATATTTTAAATAAACATTATAATTTCTGATTTTCTTAAAATAAGTTTTGAAAAAATGATAATTGATATTTAAAAAAATTTCAAAGTCAGATTTCCATTTTTTTTAAATGGAAAAAAAATGGTCAATTTTGCTGACTCAAAAAAACTAGATTTTTAACGAAAATTTCGGACGTGCTAGGAACGATTAAAAAATGGAAAAAATACCCCAAAAATACTTTGACCTTTCCTCTTAATAATAACAAACATTTAGACGATAAAATTTTGTTTTCGTCAAGTTTGGCGTCTTTTTCATCATGCTATGCTCTTTTTTTAGCGATCTCGTGGAGGTACCAACTTTTACCCTGTTCTGCCACACCATGTTCATCAGCAAAATGAAGTTATTGAGTGAGGGAGGGGTCCAACTTTTTGTTTTGGGTATGGGATCAACCAGCAATTCTCAATCAATGTTTAAAGCTCTTACTTGTATGTATTACATGTACTTTTGTTGTTTGAGCATCCTCTGTCCATTTCCATAATGCTATCCACTTGTATTGTTGCTGATAAATTCTTTGCAGAACACAGGTTTGTCAATATGGAATGCCACATACACAAGTGCTCATTTCTTAAACAGCACAGCTCCAGTTTGTGCACTGCAGATACCTCCAGCATCTTAATGGCATTGATCGCTAATAGCAAGTCAAAGCCTAGTGGTTATTCTTGTACAACCAAGATACTGACTAGTTGTGTTCCTAGTATCCATATGAATTTACTCCCCCGACCAATGTGTAACATATTCTTGTTTTACAGATTATTGCAATAGGCATTTCCTTAGTCCATGAGCAGCACTTATTGAGCATAAACAGCCTAAGTCAACTTCAATAACAGAGAGTGCTTCTTTCACAACTTGCCTGAGTAAGAGACAGATGCTAATATTTTGTACTCTCCACCGTGAACATTCTCAAGACATGAGACAACATCTGTCGCATTGGTAGCAATATATGGATGCTCTCCATCCTCTACCTTGTTGGCCCAAATAATCACTTATCATATAATCTTCATTATTACATCTGTAAGATAGGGGATGTCACTGTATCATTTTGTATTGGTTGTGCAGCTGCTATAACTGGTCCACCCATTGTAATCTCATCCTTGATGATTGATTGGGCTCAAGCTAGTAACTGAATAATGGTTAATGGGCCTATCTTGGAAGAAGTACACAGAAGATGGTTAAAAAAAGAAATTATAGAGGAAATTCTTTTTAATAAACATCATTAAAACTGCAAGGACAATTGTTCATATTAATTAGTGCTTGATTTTAAAAATACTGATTTCTACAGCACATGATCTGTAGTTTTGGAAAATACAATAACTTTTCTTCCTGTTTGTCTAGTAATTTATTTCTAAGAATGAATAATAATACTATGATAGTCAAGCAATAAGAATTCTAAAAACTCCCTGTGGCTGTTTCTAGTGAACAATAGGAAGCAAATCCCATTTTGAGTTAAAATGACAAATATGCCACCACAAACAACTGGCTGCATTGTATTCAAAACAAAAGAAATCTTCTAGAAGATCAACTTCAAATGATAATAGTATTTCTATAAATTCCAAAATGTCACCAAGATATCATTTTAAGATCAAATTTTAAGATCTGGTTGTTTTCTATAAAACAATACAACAAAGAAATGTGTGTTGAAAGATAAAAAAATATGGAACAGACTACATCTAATAAGAAATAATTTTGCAAAACAAACTTATATAAAAGAACTACTGTGTGAAAGTAGAAATTCATTGAGAAATGACTAATGGCCATTTCTGATGTAGAGTTCTGTTATTAAGTGACAATTTATGTTTTGGCTTGTGGGCTCTTGAGTCTTTCTCATGTGCATGCTTACCTTTTACTCCAAGTAACAAAACTTGAACTCGTGTATTTTGTCTGAGTATATTTGTTTACATTAATTCAACTTTCTGAAATTTTTTCACTTAAAAAAGGAATTTAATTTAATGAAATTTAAGTTGATACTTACTCATGTACTCGTCCATCACCATGTAGATCAGATAGCCCAAAGCTAATATAATGCCAGTGGGGAGGTATATTTCGATTTGGATCTCCTGGGTTAGCATACATACTAATATAATCAAGAGGATCTGGACCACCAAGCCTAAAGTTTGTTTAAAAAAAAAAAAAAAAAAAAAAAAAAAAAAAAAGTTTAATTTTGCATAGTTAAAGCAAAAATGAAAACAATTTCAAATTTAGTATCTTTGCATACAACATTAATAAATAAGTAGATATTGGTTTAAACTACTAAAAATTATGACACTGTTTTTTACCAAACTGTTTCTCGACTGATCAGATAAATCATATGTAAAAAAAAAAAAAAAAAAATATATATACATTTCTCGTATGCTATGAAAAGATTTAAATCTTTTCATAACATACGAGAAATATAGAGAGAGTCAATATTAAATTAATATTGAAACTCGCTATGTTCTTTTTTAATCTATTGATGAGATCACCAGGGTTTTTAAAGGCATAAGGCTATTTGTAACTAAAAAAAAAAAGTGATTAAAATTAGAGTTCTTTTCCTAATTTGTGAATAGTTCTGTCAGTACTGGAATAATAGGTCGCATGAGTGTTGTATTATTATTGGGTTTGTTGTCTCGTGGGGCTGGGGACATTGTTGAGTAGATATATGATTCAAACATCGTGCAAAGACAAACTCAAATATCAACTGAAATAATGATAATTTTTTTTAATCAACTTTAGGACAAAATTAAAAAGTCAAAACACTTTTTTCATTATGAAGTTGCAAACAAAATCATTTTTTCGCCTTAAAACGAGTTTTTTGCGCCTTTGCAGAGGAAGTGGGTGACATTAAGATTTAAAAAAAAAAAAAAATTGTCATATTGTATATTGTCAAAATCTTATTGCTTTAGTTTTTGGTCACAAGTAGCTAAATGCAATTTTAAAACAATTTAAAGTAAACTTTTTAAATTTAAGTTTAAATTTAAGCAATTTTTAAACAATTTAAAATAATTTTAACAGATCTTGTTTATTGTTTGAAGGAGACAAAAAAACTTTTAGTGCATAAAAACAAAAACAAGCAAGTTGTACTTACGAAAAAAATAAAAAGTAAAGATACAATAAGTGGTGTATATGTAGAGAAATTTAAATAAAAAATTGATACCATTTTTGGAAATATAGCAACAAGTAATCAACATTTCTTTGCATCAAACATTGAGAATTATTTTTATTTTACTTTCCTTGTCTGAATTTGTGGCCTATTTTGCCCCACCAATTTATAAAGACAATAATCGATATTTATATTGTTTTGAATTTATTCCTCGAAAAAAATATTTGAAGATTAAATTTTCTTGTTAATTACACAATCTTAGTGAAAACTCAAATAATTTGCTTATAAATAAAAAGAAATTCTCTCGTGGAATAATTTCTTACTTCATCTTTTCCTTTCAAACAATAAACAAGTTTATATTTTTTAATAATGTCTTTTATTATATTTATTAAAAGAAATTTATTAACTGTTTGTATTTTACGTATTTAAAGAACATTGCAGGTATTTTCTTCTGAAAAATTGTTTTTCGATGATTTAAAAATAATTTGGATGAAAATACAAAAGAAAATTTTTTTTTTAAAATATCTTTTCAATAGGTTTTTTAATTTACATAAAAAAAATTAAAGATAAACCGACTTTTTGCAAGAATAAACATTTTGATCGGACGCATTTTTAACTTTTTAAGAGTTTTATAAACTTTGTAAAAAATTTGATTAAATATAAAAGATTTTTAAAAGTGCTTTAATTTTTTAATCGTGTATAAAAATGTTTTTATTGAGACATTTTTCTGGGTAATAACTAACAAGTAAAAAGTCAAATCATAAATTTCTTTTGTTGTTGTTTTTGTTTATTTTTTAAAAAGGCTTTTATTATTTATTTTGCTTTTTTTAAAAGATAACTTATTTTTACGAAAACATTTCTTGTAAGGAAGAAGTATTAAAAAAAGAAAATCGATGAATTAGATTTTGAAACTTTTCAATAAATTGATAGGAAAAAGTTCTGAAGAATTAAGAAAGCAAACAAAAAAGAATATTTTTTTGTTATTATTCTTCTTACCAATATTTGGTGAGTGCCGTCACTTGTAAAGGGTTTGGTTGGTCTGGGTAAGTCCTTCGACAAGCTGCATAGATGGACTCAAATCCAGGAGGAGTCATATGTAAATTCAGAGGATAAGAAGAAGAAGAATAAGACGAGGAAGAAGATTTAAAACTTTCCTCCATTTTACCATTTTGAGAAGTTGTCGATGACATTTTCTTATTCGGTGAGAAAGATGGTTGTTTTCTTTCAAAGGAGAAAAACGTTTAAGAGACAGTGACGATAACAACAAGTTTTCACACAATAATAAAAAATGTCTACCGTAGGAGTTCCAAACTTGGGCTAAAACTAATCTTCAAGCTTTACTCAACATTTTTTTTCGGTGTAGTTACAATCAAAGATGGATAGTTATCCACAAAATTTTTACCTAAAGTTTTCCCAAAGAGTGGACTCTTACAACCCCCTTTTTGTTGTTGTTGTTGTTGTCGTTCTAAAGTCAATAATGTTCCATCGTTCACTAACCCAAGTTGTCCGCAACAAGACCACCCACGAAGTGAAAAACAGAGTTATCTACCTTGGTAGTGCTGATATTTTCCAGTAGAGGGCGTCATCATTGTTTATTTGAGAAAAGTCAACTCAGTGCAACCACAACGACTACGTCCAAGAAAAGTTATCCTTACTTTGTCTCATATCTTAAAAAAATATCTTTATAAAAACTTTCAGTAGCCTTTCTGCACTATATTGAATTATGAACATAAACACAGAAAACTAGGATAATTCCATATGACCTTCAAAAAAGCATTTAAAATCTTCTTGATCACAGTTTTATTAAGAATTAAAAATTAATAAGCTTTGAAAAATTCAACGATTTGTTGAGTTAAAAAACGAAAAGGATGAAATAGTGAAACAAAATTTAACGAAAAACGCGATACTTAAGGTTTTAATATTTAAAAATGAAAAATCTTGAAGCTTTTAGTTTTAATTTAAAGTTAATTAGAAAAAGATAATATTTAATTTGCAATAAGTAAAATGCTTTGCTATTTCAAACTAAATTTAGAAATTGATTGAAATGAGTTTTTTTTATTATTATCAATAAAAACGATAAAAATGATAAAATCATCCATACTGACAAATATCTAACCCTAACGCAAAACTCTTAGAGCAAAAAATCTTTCAAAAATAAAACATGCGTTTCTGAAAGATTTTTTTGAGATAGATTTATTTATTTCATTTAAAAGTTAATGAATCTGATTCAAAAGACAAATTACGTTTTTATCGCAGAAAAGCATTTTTAACACGGGGGTGGTGGTTTTTATGAGATGTTGACTACCCGATAAAATTAAGTTTGGAAATTTTATTTTACGAATATAACGTAAACGTCTTTTTTATACAATTTTTTTAAAACTACCCAGTCGTGAAGTAATCTTAAAAATTTAAGAAAATATTCTATCAATCTAATGTTTTATTGAATTTTAGGTACTTTGGCTTCATAATCTAACTTACAAACAGGCTTGTTGAGGAAATGTTAGAAAATTACCAATAAATTTTAACAACTCTACTATAGTTACTGTTCTTATTTTCTGATAAAGTTTCATTTGGACATTCGTCTTTACAAAAATCGACATGTTTATACACACATAAAAATAAAATAAATTCAAAATTATTTTAAAAATATTGGGGGTTATTGAATTGTAGCCAGCTTTATTTATCATAAATTTTTAAGACTATTTATTATTAAATGATTTATGATTAGTAAATACAGTCTTAATTTAATAACAATATCACTGACTGCTACAGATACAGAATTTAAAAAAAATAAAAGTTCATAAATTATTCTAATTAAAATTTAAAAAAATGAAAACAATTCTTGTAAAAATTAAAAGCTTTTCTAATTTTTTTATTTTATAATTCAGAGCAGATTTTCTGTAACTGAGGGTCCTGTTTGACCAAAAACATTTAATGATTTAAATTCTCCAAGGACTTGTCATATAGTGGCATGAGGCTTAGGGGCTAAAATGAACAGTTGATTTACCCACACCAAGAATGATAATGGTGAGGAAACACATGGGTGATTTTAACAAAACAAGATAAGGAATTTATTCACAAATTTGCACATTCAAAGTAGTGTCAGTAGCTCATTTCAGGAAAGTAAAACAGAATTTTTAAAATTCGTAGTTTTGATGTATTGCACAAAGAGATGTTCATACAACAGATTAAATGATCTATCACAAAAGAATATTCAAAAATGTTTAAGACAAAGCTAAGAGAGTTTGTTGTTCATGATTTGCATGTGTTCAAAAGTGGATACTTTTTTGGATTGTTGAGAGAAAATTCTTTGAAGTGCCAGCTGTTAGGTAGAGTCTGATAATATAATTGGCAAGTAATTTTACACTGGCGAGAACTTTACCACTGGTTGTGAGAAACTGAAACAAAACCTTTCACATGATTTCAGACACTCTTCTATGATTAATTTAATTTTTTACTTCTCATTTTTTATCAAAAAGAGTAGGCTTGCAAATTTATTTTCTTATTCTTCTTGGCTGACTGGCTAATTTCTGTGAAGGTGTTGACTCTTCCACAACAAGCTAGTTAACCCGTGCTAGGAAATACACTATTCCTCTTATAATTTTCACCATCGCAGTCTTACAAATATATAACAAGTATTAATTGGTCAATCACCTTCAATCTAGCTTGCTGATTGGTCAGTTCCGACCAATCAAACCGCCTGCACGCGACCAATCTGTTTTCCCGCTCATATGCTGGGAACCACCCACGTGGCAGACGACCATTATAAAAACAGAACACGTGTAGCTCCCTGAGTAGTAGTTTTTTCTCATTCCTTGCTACCAAGTGCCAAGATGTAATCTTCAAGAACTCCCGTCTTAACCATTGCAGTCAGACGTTAAAGACCATTACCAACATTCACGCAAGTACGAACTCTGAAATCTCTTCTGAACTTTTACCAACTTGTACAATACACAATTCCAAACTTTATTCTTCTAAATTACAGTTTAATATTACTTCCTTTTAATATGAACTCAGGTACAACTATTATCTAATCAAAGGGACACGACTCTGTCCTACCTTTTCAGTTCGCATGCATGTATATCAAATATTAATAAATTCAATTACTCTGCTTTGAAATCATTCCGTTCAGTTTTGTATTTTATACTATGTGCTATTTACGTCAAATATAACTTGCATTGCGTTCACGCATTGTCATTAATCCCACCTTTCCTAGCCAAAGTTAAATTATGGTAACTCAACCATTACAACAATGGCAACCCCGTCGGAAATATATAATGATGACCCCGACGTTCGTCGTTCGACAACCACAACAATAATGGTAACACCGTCGCTACAATATTGGTGATTCCGACATGGAAGCAACACTCAAGTTTCACTGGAATAAACGTACAATTTTCTCTGGATGACTCACTGTTCTATTATATACGATGCGACATCACTGAAGATTTACATGCACGTAATCCGTCGCTACAAAGGCAAGATTTAATTGGCCCAAAACCAATTTCACATAGGCTTGCAAATTCCTTTCGTTCTTCTTCCTCAGTCCTCTGAATTTGAAGGAAGTGGGTGAATGGAGTTATTATTTTGCACTCACTTATGTTGCGGAATTTGAGCTAATAATTGGATGTATCAGAAGGTGTAATTGTGTGAAGGCTTAAAAATGTGCGTGTTCGTTAAACATTCATCCACAACAAATAAAATAAACAAACATTTGAAGGCAATTCAATTGGAAGAAAGCAAGGAGAAACAACATAGTTATAGATTTCAATAAATAACATGCATTTATATACGTTTGATATACACAAGTGAATTTTAGATTGCTTGTTCAATGTGATAAGTGAGATAAAATTGTAAGGAGTGACCATGCAGTGATTTGGTGTATGAAAGTAAGTATGAAGAAAGTATGATGTAAGTTGACTAAATACAATTACTACTTCGGTAGTGATAATGTCACTTTTTCTAGCAAATTGTAAGTTGGCTCAATTCGCGCGGCAAGACTTTCTGAGTTGTGTTGAGCTGCTGAGAGAGAGAGAGAGAGAGAGAGAGAGAGAGAGAGAGTGGCGGTTGTTGAGTCAGTGTGCTATCGCGGGTGGAGTTTGTTGGCATCTCTCAAAGACTTAGTTACTGAAAATATTTATTCCTGTAAAAATACAGCAAATGTGGCACAAGGCCGAAAAAGGGGGTTGGGGAAAGGACGGTCATCACTTGTCTTAATTTTAAAACTTAGCTAGCCACAACCATTGACCCAATCATACAAAACAATATTCCTGCCACCAAAACGACACATTCATACTTACCATTCTTACTACATCCACCAAAATACCTCATTGTCTCAATGAAAATCCTAAATAGATCCCATATGTACAGATTGTTGTCTGTGAGAGGAGGGAAATAAAAACAACAAGTTAAAAATCCCCAATGATTATATACAATATGGTTATAAAATATTTACAAGAAACTAAACAAAATCGTGTTAGTAATAACCCCCCCCCCCCACAAACCTTAAACTTAAATGTGGCAGAAATATCAGTTAACTGGACGAAATCGATGTGGACTATAAAAATATAGAAAGCATTCATCCATCCCAAGCACTCACACGGACATGCACTCATTCTGACACAACAACAAATACGATAACAAAAAAAAAAAAAACAAAAAAAAACACGCGAAACGAAAGGCGCGCCGCATCCACCAGAGAATTGACATTACTGACCACCTAACGAGGGAGGGGATGGGGAGTTAAACTAAAGGAAAAAGGAGACAGAAACAAAAAGGGGCCAATGAGCAAGCACACCCTAGCTAAGTTTACAGAAAAAGAAAAAAACTAAAGAATCAAATATAAAACCTACTCTAAATCCAGGGATGGGTTGCCTAAGTTCAACCCAGGAAAACAATATCCTGATCCCTAACCGGCATCAAAATGCCATCCCAGGTCAGCCCTTTTTACTCGGCACAAACGCGCAAGATTCATCCACCTTTTGCCAAATTTTGATGAGGTGAGCCGCCGCCTTTCCGTCCTAATCCTAACTTTAAGCTGGTGCTTAAAGAACAAGATCAGTAGGGAAGAAGTGACTTCTCGCCACCATAGAAT